TTACTTCATATTTCTCGGCTCAAGATACCACAATGTACCTACAACGATTTCACAACGTACAATGACCATACACACAGGGTCAATACGAGTATCGTATGTGTGGCACGGCGCCAAACATACAGAATGCTGGAAAGTCGAGGCTTCATGGGTTCATCACAAAGTTGGATGCGCAACCCCTCAGATATCCGACAACCGTGTGGATATGGAAGTTGTTCACCAACTTCCATAGAGAGTATATACCCTGTATGTATAGTCAATGTACGTTGTGAAGATCGTTGTAGGTACATTAAGGTATCTCAACCCGAGAAATATGAAGTAAATTAGAGCTTGATAAGAGCGGGGTCTTCATTTGGAAACTCGAAGAAGAGTGATGGAGGCTCGGTGATGAGTTGTCCGGCGATGAGTTCTCTCGGCGATGAATTGTCCGGCGATGAGTTGTCTCAGCGTTCAGTTGTCGGCGATGAGATGTCGGCGATGAGATGTCGGCGATGAGATGTCGGCGCTGAGATGTCCGGCGATGAGTTGTCTGTGTCCGTCCCAATCGATATTTGATTTGATCGATGAAAGTCTTCGGGGATATGCTGCCTTCATCCAAGCTGTTCCAGAGGAGTCTCACTCTCTCATCCTGGGCGCGGCTGAGGCGATCAGGCACGCATCTTATGTGCCTAATGCCCCTTCGGGCGATTGAGAGATCCGTTGGCATATCTTGCGCGATGCCGCAGAGTGAAACTGCATAAGAAGCGGAGTCCGGGAGTATATCCTGGTGTTGAAAATAGAGAAACATAGATAGCGATGCCTGCGAGTCACCCCGCGAGGACGCATCTTCAATCTCTGGAAGACCGCTCAAACATTCGCCTCGAACAACCTGTCATTGGGACGGAATCATCCGAAATGGGTTGAGCCGTCTTCAGGAGAAGCTAGCTAGAAGTCAGCCGATCTCGGATTCTCATATCTAACTACATCCGGGTCTCATTGGACCCCGGTTTGCGAAACAGCACGGAGTTGAGAATCAGAGCGGCTCCGCATACGCTTGCGCGCGACCACAAGTGCCGACAAAGCGCTCGGCTCGTGAGAGCCCAGCGTTTAATTATGGGGACCCATAGTGTTCGGGGGTGTGCTCATCAATCAGGTAGAGGAGGTGCCGGATCGGCGCCCCAACATAGGCTCCCCTCTCTCATAGGCAATAGTATAAGTAACAACCTTTTCAATCAATAAACACACTGTCTCGTGGAAACTCTACCCGAGAGCTTCTTCGATTCTTCACGAGTGTGGTGGCTGAGCCTCAGATTCGCCTTGGTGACGCTGAGCGACAGCGGAGACGACCCTACTGCCTTCTACCCTATCTCACTAACCAATCTTGTGTGCCAGTACAAGCTTTCCAATTCCCTGCTTATCACGTTATCACCACTTTACTCGTTCATCAAGGTGAAAAAAAAAGTTCAGCAAAACCACCATACTCACCTCCGGTCGGGTAAGTTCCCAGTAGGAAGAATCTAGAAACCGCAACAGTGTCATCAAAACCGCAGTATTTTGTCGATGAATAGCTCGATCGATAGCGACGGCTACTTTGTATTGGAGGACTCATTCAATTCAGTTTCCCATCTTAGTAATACAACCGCACTATCAACCGAATCCAAAATGCTTAGAGGTGAATCTACCAACACCCAAGCATCGAAGATGCCGAATTTCTCGGCCTTCAAACTCGAATCATCTGGTAAAACTATCAAGTGTGGAAGGAAATCATAAATGTTCTGCCTTCCCAGGAAACAGACTGCTGGGACGTCGTCTGTGGGCGAATTCCCATAGCAGACAACCGTTTCGAAAAAGCCAATACCACAGCGAGAGGAATAATTCTGAACTCTCTCGATTTCACTCTCATAATGCTAAAATTCCCACTTGATGTTTCGACCATGACTGCAGCCGATGTTTACAATGATATCGTAAGAGAATTCGAAACAATGAATGGCACACGATTGAACGCTGCCATGAGTAAAATATTCCAATTCCAATTCGATTCTACAAAAACCCCGCAAAACAATGTCAATAGCTTCCGCAAACTCCAGCAAGAGGTGATCTCTCTTGGAGGCACCCTTGATCCGGACATGCTCATTTCTCGCCTCCTAGAAGCCCTCCCCATGTCGTGGCAATCATTCAAGCAAGGTTGGACGGTGACGCCGAAGGAATCCCAAACTCTAACGAATCTCTATGACTTGATAGAGGTCGAGCAAACTCGGTTATCCACCGAAGCAAGATCCAATCACTCATCATCAAGTCAGCAAGCATTCTTCTCTCAATCAAGAACCAACCCCGTTTCAACGGACATGGGGCTCTGACCCCAATTGGAGGAACTCCCACAATTCGACAAACTTCCAGCGTCAGGCACGCATCTTATGTGCCTGATGCCCCTTCGGGCGATTGAGAGATCCGTTGGCATATCTTGCGCGATGCCGCAGAGTGAAGCTGCATAAGAAGCGGAGTCCGGGAATATATCCTGGGAAATCGGGAGAGTCGAAATTCCGCAGAGATCGAAGCTTACACCGGAGGACCCTCACCGATCAAGTTCCAGACCTGCGCATTCGACATCGCGCTTAAGAGTGGCATTGCAGCTCTCAACTGCATTATTCGTTCTGACCGGAACTCTGAAAATCGACAGTCGATCGGCTCCGACCCGGGTAAGCCATTGATTCCGGATGTAGTCCAGGAGTGGCTGAAACTGAAGAATGGGTTACGATGTCAGGATGCTGCTCGTTGCCAGCAGCTGTACGTATTCTGATTCTATAGCACAGAAGATGAGTCTAGATTCTAGATGTCTAGATATCGCCATGAGAGCGCGGTTGTGTGTTAGTCGTGAGCTTACCCGCGACGTGACCGCAAGGGCCTCTCGGGCGCACTCCTCGAAGACTGCATTGATATGCACCGCCGGGAGGTAGGGCAGCGCGAGAAAGGCGAGGAAGCTCGCGGTCACGGGTCCAGGACGCCTGATCTCGCG